ACCAACCACTACTGGTTTTCCCGAGGCTGACTTATTGGTAGTATTCTTCTTACACTGGCTCCTCATATGTCCTTCTCTCCACAGCTGTAGTTTGATTTGCCACTTCTCGTTTCCATCTTCTTCTTCTTCTTTTATCCCACTCTCTGACACCAATTTGTTGCGTATCTGCTTGTCTGATAATTTCCGGTAAAAATTCTTTCCGAGTGACTTCAGCGATACAAGTCCCTTCTTGATTAAAACTAGTTTATTCTTTCTTGTTATAAACTTTGTAATACACTTAATTTCCACAGTAACTTTAACTTAACTAATTTTATAAACACACGCTATAATTCACAGCGATTCACACACTTTACTTACGGGGCCTACTGTTCGCTTGACTCAATTATCAATTATTTCTCTTCAATCTATCTCCGGCATATATACTAAAAAAAGAGGCATCCCGAACACACTAGGAAATTCACGATCATTTGAGAAACTCATCACGTGTTACCAGCATCACGTGACTTCTGCTGTCGTAATAATACCATTTATAACCTTTATGTATTTAAACAAGTGGATATACTCCAAAACAAATTACTAAAATTAACAAATTGGTTGAAGATCTTTCAAAACTTTTACAGAGGTACATCATACACAGTTAAAAAAATCTTTTATACTAAAAAAATAAACTGAAATCAGCATTATTTTTATGTCGTATATAAGCAGAATAACTGTAAGAAATTATCCTTAAAAGTGGCAAACCTTTCTGTGGGACATCTATTTTTTCAAGTGTATCACATGCAATTTGTGCATCTCCAATATGCTGTTGAGGTGAGATCCCCAACTGGCCCTTCTTACCATTTCCCCAACACCACACCTCTCCTGAAACTAATCAATTAGTGTTACTGTTGTTCAAATTTAATACTTTTGTTATAAAGTCAAACAGATATACTCAGTCTTGTGTTTGCAAAAGCTATGAAAGCTGGAAACTTGTTTTTCAAGAGTAGTTGCTTTCATGAACATTTCCAATCAAATATGAAAGTTTTAACAAACACTTTTGTCATCAGTGCTGAATGATTTAATAAAAATCCATAATTGAAAATAAAAAATCGACTGATACCACTATTCTATTTTTGCATGAATAACAACTTTGTTTAGCACATTAAATATGAGTGTTAATGTAAGTGATTTTAATTAACAGAGTAAATAGTTGATGTATAATGTGCTATTTTCTTTACAATATAACACGAACTTCACCATATGACGATGTCTAATAGTGATGTAATGGGATGTTTGTGTCGAAACTGTTTTGTAACAAAAATTGTTTGCAGATGGTATAAAATGAAATGTGTTAATTCCTACCCTACCTTCATAGAGCAAATTTATGGTACTGAAGCACAAATAGAGGTCTACCAGCACCAAAATATGTGATAAATAATGCTTCTAAGCAACAAATTATGAGCACAATTGGGCATGGGAGTGATCACACCCGTAAAATTTGAGAAAAATTACATACTTATATATAACACACATATAAACTCTCTTGTTGATTTGCCTAATTTCTTCCCATTTCTTGTTTGACATTTGCATCATATGCACATTTTTATGAATATGACAGAATCATGTGGTTATCAATATCTTACATGTTTTATAACAATAATCTTAGCTCATTAGCTTCAATCAAATGTATATCTTGTCATTTTTTTCTCATCAAATCTCTCCAGCTTGGGGATTAGGGTAAAGGTATTTATTTTAATCGGATTTTGAAATCTAAAAAATTATCTCAACCTACCTCTTTCACAAGTTTCTAATTTAAATCCTCACATGTGTGTTGATCAGAAGGAAAAGGAGAAGTACTTGTCACCACTGAGAAAGAAAGGAAAGCAGTCACAGTCATGTGAAACGTACCATTTAAAGAAATTCATATTACAGATATGAAGGGACAGTTTGGCCAAGGACAAGGTTCCTTGTTGTTAACTAAAAAGGGATCAACCGTAAGGAGTAACGTGAATTGTTATAAAATCCTCTAAACTCTGTTGACAGCTTTGAAAAACATACAAATGTATTGATGCTCTTCGGGTGAGAGACACCGATTCAAACATGGATGGACTAGATTTACTCCAATAAAGTGATTAAATAAAATGTGTAACTAATCAAGTGAATCTCTCATAATTTTATGTCAAATATACAAATGTATTGATGC